CACAAGCGGTGCAACAAATAATAGTCCACCCTCCCAGGCACCGAGGCAGTGCTCTCGCTGTCACCGGAAGGGGCACACCACCAACGACTGCCTGCGAGATACCAGGTGCAATTACTGCCACACGAAAGGACATCAGGAGGACCAGTGTCGAAAGAAAAAGGAACTTGACAGACAGGACGACCTGTTCTTGGAACAAACCACCAGGATCTCTGAATTGGTGAATACACTCACACGTCACCCACTCAGCTACTCCTATCTCAGCCCAACAGGTGGTATTGTGCCTTATACAAGACCACAGACCTACAGCAGGGCCCCGCTTTATGGCGTTTCACTTTACGGCATTCCGCTAATACGGTCATTTCAAATTATGACCAAAACTCGCTATACGGCTCCCCCCACCTGACTTCTAATACGGTCACCGCGCCCCACCCTGTTTGTTTACATTCTTCGTGAGCTCAGTAAGCACTAAGTCTCTCCATTTTGTCTGGAAACTCCAAAATTTCAAATGTTTTTAAAAGTTTTCATATTTTATATATACTCTGATAATTATACTAATGTATACCTGTACTTAAATAAACTTACATACTGTGCTGGCATGCAGGTACACATTAAAATCAGTAAGAGTGTCTTATGTCTCCAGACGTCATATTAGTAATGATAATAATAATCATCGAGTCTCATTTAAATGTCGTATATTATGTTAAATACACATTTTCATTAATCCATCTATGATATTTTTTCAAAATTATATAATAAACACGATACATAACATAAAAAGATGATAAATACACCCCACAATAGAATAAATAAACAAATATGAGATGTGGTAGCAGACGACTTGCACAAGTGACGCCATATTAGAAATGATAATGATGATAATAATAATAAATAATAATAATCACTGAGTCTCATTAAATGTTGTATATTACGTTAATATACACATTTTCATTAATCCATCCGTGATATTTTTTTCAAAATTATATAATAAACACGATACATAACATAAAAAGATGATAAATACACCCCACAATAGAATAAATAAACATAAATATGAGATGTGGTAGCCAGATAACTTGTACAAGTGATGCCAAGAATAACATTTTCTCTAATCTAACATAAGAGAAAATGTGTTACTGGGGGTAGCTGTAGAAAATTATTCCTTTCGTATGTATGTAAGTAAGTTTATTCAGTTTACACAAATACAGTTACATAGATTATCATACATAACAACATATGTGTAGAGAACCTAGGATAACCCAAAAAAGTCAGAGTGACTTATTTCCATTGCCTTCACTCAGAGCATCATTTCTTCTCAAAATGATGTTACATGAGAATGGGAGTGTTCTTCTTTATTTATTCTACCGTATCAATGTAGAGACAACTTGTACACAAACCAGACGTGTACACTGTTTGTTTACAAAACTTACCTTCGCCTGGTTTGTTTACATAACTCTGCGCCTGTCCTCTCTCATGCACTCATTCTTTCTCTCTCATTTATTCGTTTTATCTCATTTACTTACTCCTGACCCTACATTAAGACTACAAATATTTTAAGGTAAGTAATGAGTGAACTGTATATACATTTTATCGCTCTGGGATGCTTAAATATCATAGAATAGTATGTGTGGGTGGGGTGGCCTGGTATGGTAGCCTGGCTGACACCATACATACCACACTTGATTTCTTACAATAAATACTACTTGTCTCACCCTAGATTAAGACTATAAATATTTTAAGGTAAGTAATGAGTGCACTATGTGTGTATTGTACTTTTTTATTGTTTTTTGATGCCTGGTTCTATTGCTAACTTAATATATGTTAGTGTAAACTTGTTATCTAGTGTTTGTATGCATTTGGAAGTGGAAAAAAAGGGTGTTCCACTTTACGGCGGTTTCTGCTTTATGGCGGTAGCCTGGAACCTAACCAGCCGTATAAGTGGGGCCCTACTGTACATCCCTGCAGCTGCCTCAGTGCCCTACTCTCGAGGACAGGCACCTTACACGCCTTACACACCCACCACCTCAAGCTGACCACATCATTAGGAGCCAGTCTATCAGCATCCTGTCAGCCAACCTTAGAGGTTTCATTACTAATGTTGGAGAGCTCGTACACAGTTTTGTGAACACTCGATGTCCCGACATGATAGCTGTTGTTGAAACATTTTTGGACGACAGGACTCCAGAAAATTTTGCAAGAATTGCTGGCTACTCCTCATGGATGAGAAGAGACAGGCAAGGGCAAGGAGGAGGTGTTGCTGTGTGCTTCTCTAAAAGTGTACATGCCCAGCACATTGATGTTGCCATCCCTACTCATCTTGAAATGATGTTCTTCAAGCTATGCATAAACACTAGTACCTCTGTACTAGCATGTGCAATGTACAGACCTCAGTGGCAACATGCAGACCCCATCAACTTCCTAATGGAAAATGTGGACTCCCTTCTGCTACAACACAACTGTCAACATGTCATAATTGCTGGTGACCTCAACCAACACCTTATACAGAGGGACTTTGATGACCTTGCAGTACTTGACATCTCTGGCTCCTCCCATGACCCAGTAGTGAGTGATCTAGAAGAAGGTATAGTCACTTGTCAACCCCTCGGCTATGTTGGATCATCTGACCACAAGGCTGTTTTTACGACACTTAAGGTCCCAACAGAACGAGGTGAGGAGTCCACACACACAACCTGGCTATGGGTAAGAGGTAATTGGCCAGCCCTTTGCTCTGAGCTCGCAACCACCAATTGGAATGCTCTTCTCCAAGGGGATGTTGACAACCAAGTGAAAGCCTTCACTGGACACATCCTTAATCTACAACAAGAACACATTCCTCACTGGCAATATGTGATGAAGCCTACAGATCAGCCTTGGTTTGGCTTTTGTTGTAGAGAGGCTGCTACTGCTAAGTACAAGGCATGGTGAAGGTATAAGAGACATCCTACCACCTATAACAGGAACTTGCACAGGCAAGCCTGTAAGCATATGGGTGACGTTCAAAAGTGGGCCATCGCTAAATGGGAGATGGACACAAGAAGAAAGCTAGCATCAGGTAGGGTAGGCTCCAAAACCTGGTGGTCCCTGGTCAAGGACAGAGAAGGTTATCTGCCTGATGAACCCATTCCACCTCTAAATCAACAGGATGGGACCACCTCTACTAATAGTTAAGAGAAAGCAGACCTCTCTGCCGAACACTTTGTTACCAAAATGCAAGTTCCTGATCCAGCAAGGAACCCTCCTTGGCTAGCTGGAAGAACTGTGTCAAAACTGTCAGTGGTAACAATAAGGCAGGAAGAGGTGCACTTCCTTCTTAAATCACTTGACCAAGAAAAGGTTGTGGGCCCAGACAAGTTGAGCCCAAGATTGCTGAGATGCGCAGACCAGCTAGCAGCACCTCTAACTCGCATCTTTCAGCACTGCCTAGTACAGTGTAAATGTCCTTCTCTGTGGAAAGAGGCAAATGTAGTCCCTGTTCACAAAAAGAAGAGCAGAGCAGAAATCAGCAACTACAGACCAGTGTCACTCCTGTCAATAACTGGCAAGCTCCTTGAGACAATAATCTCAAGACAAATGACAGAGTTTTTTGACTACCACTCACTACTTTGTGACTGTCAATATGGCTTCAGGAAAGGTTACTCTGCTGAAGATCTGTTGTTAAACCTCTCTACTAAGTGGCACCAGTCACTTGATGAAACCAAAGTCAGCTGTGTGGTAGCACTGGACATTGCTGGTGCTTTTGACAGGGTGTGGCACCAGGCCCTCTTAGCAAAACTGCAAGCTCAGGGAACTGCAGGCTCTACGCTATGTCTCCTCAGTGATTACCTTCATGGTAGATCTCTAAGGGTAGTTCTCAATGGAACAGAATCAGCAAGACAACCTACTGGGGCAAGTGTTCCACAAGGAAGTGTTCTGGGACCATTGTTATGGAATGTCTACTTCAATGACCTTCTTTATCTCATCCCAGAATCCCATGCATAAGCAGACGACTGTACACTGACATTCACTTATCCAAGAGAAGAAATGCCAGCTGCTCTAAGCTACATCAATCACCAGCTCAGAGCTATATCAGCTTGGGGAAATAGATGACAAGTAATATTTGCACCCGAGAACACACAAATGGTGATGATCTCTAGGCACCAAGATGGTAATGCCGGTGCAGTAGTAAGGATGAATGGGAGGGTGTTGGCACCTGGGGAAGTTGATATCCTTGGGGTGAAATTTGACTCCAAACTGACTATGAAAAACCGCGTTGTAAATCTTGCAAACAAGGCAGCCAGGAAGCTTACAGCACTTCGCCGTATCTCGCATCTGTTTGACAGTAGGGGTTGCAAGATTTTGTACGAGGCACAAGTACGCTCACACCTTGAGTATGCTCCACTTTCTTGGTTCACCTGCCCCCCTTCTCATCTGCGACTGCTTGACAGAGTAGAGAACAGAGCAAGACATTTCATCTCTTGCCTGGATCAGTCCTGGATAGATCTGTCATTTCAGCAGAGCCTTCAACACAGGAGGGATGCGAGTGGCCTTACTGTTATGTACAAGGCCAATATTGTAAAAGTACCACACTTGGATCCACTTCGAGGACAGCGTGAAGCAAGTTTCTATACCATAAGATGGGCAGAAAGCAGCAACTTCACTCTGGCTGTACCATTCTCCAGAACATCACTTCATCTGAGATCATTTATTCCCAGGATGACTCGAGTATGGAACACATTCGTACAGCATTATGATGTCAACGAGATCAAGTCAGTTTTGATCAGATGAAAATGCTGGCCCACAGATGGCTCCAACTTCATCCTGTTCCCTACTTGTATGTTTCATAACACTAAAAATGCTTTCAAATGAGCTGATGTAGGTAACGCTCTTAGCTTGTCAATAAAGCTAGGGATCCTTAACCTAATCTTGTCAAACCCTGTGTAAAAAAAAAAAAAAAGAGAGGGAGGGAAGGAGGGCATCTTGCTTGTAAGTCACTTAAGCCAACTGATGAAGAACATTAATATTACCTGCATAACATTTTCCAGGTCAATCTTCCTCTTGATAACATCTACAATATCTCCTTTCTCAGGGCCTTTCTTAATTTGCATTCGACCAATTAAGTAAATATTGGCTTTTGTTACAATCAGGTCACGTTTAGTTTGTCTGAACCTGCGATCAAATTTATCAACTGTCAATGCAAATTCAACCTGCAAAAAAATAATATTTTTACATCAAGGAGCACTACAAATAGATGTTGCCTTCTGTAATAACTCAGTCCTATAACTGTAAATTACTGAGTAATCAGACTGTGAATGGCACTCCAAGGTTGACAACTTATGTCTCAGGTTATCATAGTACTGATGGTTATGTACACAGTGCATTACTAAGAATACATATAAAATATTATAATCTAAGTACTACTACTATCATATTTTTCAATACTTTCAGATAACACAAATCAAATTTCTAACATGCATCCTTACAGTTGTGTTTTATTTAACTGTTTAGTTTATTCTGCTGTCAGAGAGATCACTGGACATTAAAAATCTCCCTGGTAGACAAAATTTATATTTTCAGTTACAATGTCAGCTAGCATCCTATTCAGTTGAAATTGATTATTTTTACTTTATACATAAAAATGTTAAGCTTGTAAGAGTTATTCAGTACAACTCAAATGTAAGGACTAAATGATGAATGTGCAAGGAAATGGACTATTGGGTTTTGAGTTATGATATGATGAACACCCAAGTGACCATCACAAGCAAGAAAATGACTAGTACATAACTTCATATATCTTAGATAGGAGATGTCCCGCCCCCCTTCCCTCCAACAACTAACCCGACACTGATTTTTTTGATCTCCACATTCCACCAGCTGATCCTGGCACCACTACTGTACTGTACACCTGTGGATGACATGCACCAGATAGCACAGGATGTTCTGATGCAGGCTATCCTATCACATTCTAATATTTTTTTTCTTTTTTTTTTAACAAACCGGCCCTATCCCACCAAGGCAGGGTGGCCCAAAAAGAAAAATAAAAGTTTCTCTTTTTAAATTTAGTAATTTATACAGGAGAAGGGGTTACTAGCCCCTTGCTCCTGGCATTTTAGTTGCCTCTTGCAACACGCATGACTTACGGAAGAAGAATTCTGTTCCACTTCCCCATGGAGATAAGAGGAAATAAACAAGAACAAGAACTAGAAAGAAAATAGAAGAAAACCCAGAGGGGTGTGTATAAATATGCTTGTACATGTATGTGTAGTGTGACCTAAGTGTAAGTAGAAGTAGCAAGATGCACCTGAAATCTTGCATGTTTATGAGACAGAAAAAAATAAGACACCAGCAATCCTACCATCATGTAAAACAATTACAGGTTTCCGTTTTACACTCACTTGGCAGGACGGTAGTACCTCTGGGTGGTTGCTGTCTACCAACCTACTACCTAGATACATTCTAATATGACTAAAAATAAGACTGACAATTGCAGCACATTATAAATAAAATCAATGATTAATATACATTACAAGGTGTACTATTCTACATCTGTATAAATACATTAGCATATACAGTGGCCCCTCGTTTATCGTCCTTAATCCATTCCAGGAAGTGGGACTATTATCGAAATAGACGATTTTCGAATCAATTTTTCCCATAAGAAATAATGTAAACACAATTAATCCATTCCTGGCACCAAGAAGTATTAAAACAAAAAAAACTTTTACATGAAATATAGATGTAGTACATAAACAATACAATGGGACATGATGAATGAAACATTAACAGCATAACACTTACCTTTATTGGCGATTCTTCTTAGTGTATGGAAGGTTGGAGGAGGAGAGAGATTGAATTACTGTTTGGAAGGGGAATCCCCTTCCATCAACACCTCAGGTACCTAGTGCTTTTCTGGGGTTACTTCTCTTCTCTGTTTCTTAATGCCACTAGGACCAGCTTGAGAGTCACTGGACTCCTGTCTCGCAAAAAACTATCCAGAGCTCTGTTTCTGACATCTCTTTAAAACTTCCCTAAAATGGGCCAAGACTCTGTCATTGTACAAGTTGTTGATATGGATTGCAACATCCTTCTCAGGGTGATGTTTCTCCATAAATCTTTCCATCCTACCTCACATTTCAAAAATCTCCTTAATTTCTGAAGAAGGCACCTTCTTCCATCTCTCTTCCTCCTCCTCTGCAGCAAGATTCTGAGCTGTGATCTGTTGCTGTTCCTGCTGAAGCTCTTGCAGCTCCTCAATGGTTAGCTCTTCGTTGTGGTCCTCCACCAACTCTTCCATATCCTTCAAACTCACATCCAACCCCATGGAACTTCCCAATGCCACAATAGAGTTCACAACTGACATATGCTCATCAGGGGCCACCTCAAACCCTTCAAAATCCCTCTTGTGGACACCATCTAGCCACAAGTTTCTCCAAGCAGAGTTCAAAGTCCTGGTAGTCACTCCCTCCCAAGCCTTACCTATAAGGCTTATGCAATGGAGAATACTGAAGTGTTCTTTCCAAAAATCTCTTAGGGTCAAGTGAGTGTCTGAGGTCACATTAAAGCACCTTTCAAACATTGCTTTGGTGTAGAGTTTTTTAAAGTTTGAAATGACCTGCTGGTCCATGGGCTGGAGGAGAGGAGTGGTATTCGGGAGCAAGAACTTTACTGTGATGAACCCAAACTCCTTCAGAATTAGGTCATCCAAGTTTGGAGGATGAGCAGGTGCATTGTCCATTACTAGGAGGCACTTGAGATACAATTTCTTTTCCAGGAAGTAATTCTTCACACTAGGGCCAAACACTTCATTGAACCACTCGATGAAAATTTCCCTCGTGACCCATGCCTTATTATTAGAACTCCAAAACACACACAATTTACTCTTCATAACATTGTTTTTCTTGAACACTCTGGGATTTTCATAATGGTACACTAGTAACGGCTTCACTTTGAAATCCCCACTAGCATTAGCACAGAACATGTGTCCTGGCAGTGCCTTTTCCTCCTGAGTAATGTAGGTCCTCTTTGGCATTTTCTTCCAAAAGAGGCCTGTTTTGTCACAACTGAACACTTGTTCAGGTTTCAGTCCTTCAGCCTCTATGTACTCCTTGAATTTATGCACATATTTTTCAGCCGCTTTTTGGTCCGAACTGGCAGCCTCACCATGCCTTATCACACTGTGTATGCCTGTACGCTTCTTAAATCTCTCAAACCAGTCTTTGCTGGCCTTAAATTCACTCACATCACCACTAGTTGCAGGCAATTTCTTTACCAAATCGTCATGCAACTGCCTAGCCTTTTCACAAATGATCGACATCATAAGACTATCTCCTGCTAATTGTTTCTCATTTATCCACACCAATAATAATTTCTCAACATCTTCGAGTACTGGTGATCTCATTTTTGTCAGTATATTTACTCCCTTTGCAACAACAGCTTCCTTGATTTCCTTTTTCTTGGCCACAATGGAAGATATGGTTGTACGGGATCTGTTATACCTCCTGGCCAGTTCGCCCACATGTACGCCATTTTCATATTGTTCAATGATGTTTTTCTTAAATTCAATCATATTTCTCACTTTCTTTACCAAAGGCTTGGCACTAGGAGCTTTCTTTGGAGCCATGGTAGCTTATTTAGCACTTGCAAGCACTAAAATGAATGGAATATTGTGAAATATTTCAAATGAACAAGTGAGGGGACCGTCGCTCACTGGTAAGCAATGGCACACTATCTGGGAAGGGAGGCCGAGGCGGCTCAGAGCGTGAGTACGCGTCCAGGACGAAAGACGATTAGCGAGTCAACAGACCATTTGCGAGCCAATGTTTGGACGAAATAATGGGACGAGTTCCGAAAAGAACGACTATCGAGCCAGACGATTATTGAGGGACCACTGTACTGTTAAAGAAACAAAGAATGATTCAACTCACAAAACTGTAATGACATGACTAGAAACAAGCCATACCACGGACAGGGATTGAACTCATTCAATCAACACGAGCTCAATCTCTGCCCATGGTATGGTTTGTGTGCAATCATGTCATTACGATTTCGTGAGCCATGATGACAGCTTTGAGGGAACTAGAGCTAGAGTTTGTCACAGCCATGCTGGTGGGAGATTCATCTGTAAAAATTGCATCTGTGGTCACAGTGGGGCTTGTGATAACCTCTCTATGGTGTATAAATATACCTAGTTGGATGAATCTTATTGTAGCCAGCTAGCCCAGTGGCTTATGTGCTGGTCTGGAGTTTTACGCTCACTCACCATAAGTTTAATCCCCGCCGTGTTAGGGTTTAAAGAATGATTCTTTTGAAAAAAAAAAAAATCTAATATTTCACTTAAAATACATACAGTAGACCATCATTTAGTGCGAGTTTATTTGGCACAATTCGGGTACAGCACGACTACAGAATTGTGGCACAATTTTATGTAACACGTCGGAAAATCAATTTAATACGGTTTGTGGGAGGGGAAAAAAATTTGAGCATGTGGTCACCCAGTCACCCACAGCGGGCTACACCACTGAGTCAATGAGGGAGACCTACCGCCATTTCCCTGCCACCCACACCATGCTCCCAGCCTCCAGTTCGTTTCATACGTGTGTAGGACGAAAATACTCAGGAACCTCGCTGTGTTTATTTACATTCATTGTACATATTTTCATTGCCATTTGTTAAATCTGCCAAGCAATCATGGCACCCAGTAAGCATACAAGTCTTGCTGTAAGTGGCAAGAAAAGGTTCAAGCGTTCAAATCCAGGAATTGCGAAGAAAATCAAGATACCAGATAAGCTTAAAAGTGGCTCACATGTGGTGGATATAGTGAGGGACCTATGGCATTAATGAAGCTTCAGTTCGTACAATTAAAAAGAACGAGGCCAATATGCGAGCTTGTGTAATGAATAACCCAAGATGTCATCTCATGAAAAGAATGACACGTTGATCACAACAAGTGAATAAAAAAGAAAACTTGTTGCTTGAGTGGATCGAACAAAAGACAAAGAAAGGTGCACCACTTAATTTCCTCTTAATAAGAGAAAAGGCCTTACAGTTGTTTAAAGCAGTGTGTGATAAGGAAGGAAGGTGTGAAAAAGTGTGTGTGTTTAGCACAGGCTGGTCCCACAACTTTAAGCTGCATAATAAGTTACATAATATTACGTTTTCTGGTATGTGCTTCAGATAATCATACAGCAACAAGTAATTTCCGTGCTGAATTGCAGGAAATTATTTCTGAGAGTGGCTATGAGCCACATGAAGTGTTTAATGCTGACGAGACAAGTGTTTTTTGGAAGAAAATACCAACACGAACTTATATTAGTCAGCAAGAGAAAAGTGCACCAGGCTTCAAGACAGCAAAGGATCACTTCACCTTGCTCCTTTGCGGTAATGCAGCAGGTGATTTCAAGTGTAAGCCCATGGTTATTTACTGCTCTAATAATCCTCATGCTTTGAAAGGTGTAGATAAAAGCACCTTACCAGTAATTTGGAGGCCAAACCAGTCAGCATGGATGACAGAGGAAATATTTATTAACTGGTTTAAGCATCACTTTATTCCTGAAGTCAAATTTTACCTGCACAGCAAGAACCTTGCATTCAAGGCTCTAGTTATTCTTGATAATTCCCGTACTCATCCACAAGCTTTGCTGGATGTGACCCCACATGTAAAAGTTGTATTTTTACCTCCAAATATAACATCTCTAATTCAACCACTGGATCGGGCAGTTATTAAGTCATTCAAGTGTAACTACACAAAAACGATGATGATGAAGACAGGAGTCAAGAAGAAATGTTGGCAGAGCTCGATGCATAGATACAAGGGAGGGAGACAACAGAAGATGAAGAAGAACCTGAAGAAAAGCAGTTAACATTGCAGCAATTATGTGAGCAGTTCCATGCTGCTGCTAAACTAGCAGACTTTTTTCACTGAAGAGGACCAGCTGATGATGCCTTACTGTCAACTGTATAATGTAATGCAGGGTAAAAGAGCCCAGAGATCCATTACAGAATTTATGTACACTCCAATACAACCATCGACTTCAGTACCAGAACCTCGACCACCCACTTCTGTCAACAACCAACAACAATCCACCTCAGCCCAGTAGGGCCACAACAAGCATATCCACTCTCTTCACAATCATCCACAAACACCATTACCCACAATTTAAGGTAAAAAATACTATTATTTCTATTGCAGTTGTAGTCTTAAGCAGTAATATATCACAACAATGAACTACAATTACATATTCACTTTTATTTTTGTAAGATCTGTTTGGTCTAAAAAAATGTTTGGCTTTTTGGGAGCCCCAAGGAATATAACCCTGTTTTTCCCATAAGTTCTTCAGTTCATCAAACACGATTTTACCTAACATGGCATTTTCATGAACGTAACTACCGTGTTAAATGATGGTCTACTGTACATGTATATATACAATATACACATTTATAAAGAAAAAAGAAGCTCATGAAAAAGATGCATACAAACCTTTTCTCTTCTTGGGATTAAAGAAGTAATGCCTCGCTTGTACTCAACACCGATGTAGTCCCCATGGAAGGTCCTGTTGAGAGAGCAGCTACGGCGCTCCTTACGATTCAACAAGAGTTCACTAGCCTCCAATCGCTCCTTCAAAAATCGCTGCTTGCTGAAAAAAAGAAAAAATCAATGTAAATGAGCAAATGCTAGTGTTTGGGATGTTTTAATGATTACAGAAGCAATATTCAAATTAGTGCACAAAAATGAACATGAAGCTGACTTGATAGTAGCTACATACAAATCATCATCTCTTCTTTTAACAAACTGGCTGTATCCCACCGAGGCAGGGTGGCCCAAAAAGAAAAACAAAAGTTTCTCTTTTTAACCTTAGTAATGTATACAGGAAAAGGGGTTACTAGACCTTTGCTCCTGGCATGCTAGTTACCTCTTATGACACGCATGGCTTACAGAGGAAGAATTCTGTTCCACTTCCCAATGAAGGTAAGAGGAAATAAACAAGAATTAGTAAGAAAATAGAAGAAAACCCAGAGGGGTGTGTGTATATACATATGCTTGTATATGCAAGTGTAGTGTAACCTATGTGTAAGTAGAAGTAGCAAGATGTACTTGAAATCTTGCATGTTTACGAGACAGAAAAAAGACACCAGCAATCCTACCATCATGTAAAACAAGTACAGGCTTCTGTTTTACACTCACTTTACAGTACAGCAGTACTTCCCTGGGTGGCTGATGTCCACCAACCTACTACCTAGGACATACAAATCTGTTGTTGGATAAATTTTGAAAGATTCATCAGTGATACAGAACAATAGTGTTTAGCCAAGGAGCATACAACATAGAGGTATATATATATACACTAATCCCTGTGTAATGAACATTCATATAACATAATTTCGCATATTATTATTCTGAAAAAATATATAGAACTAGTACTTGTATATGGACTGCCTTTGCTTGCAAAATGGCCTCTTTCAACCTTACAACCTTGTTGCCTCCAGGACGATCAAACACACGATAAACAACTCATGCACTAGACTGGTGTTGCTACTCATGAAGATAGTAAGGCCTGCTCCACAGGCTTTGCTATGGTGTTGGTTCATAAGAAATAACTAGAGATTGCATGTTTTGCTTCTTGCTCCACTGGTCAGTGTATGCTTCACCCCAGCTAACATTAATTACAAAATGGTCAGTGGTGAGAATTGCAGGAGGATCAGAATATTAAACAATAAACTACATTTCTTATACAAAAAAAAAAATTATTATTTAAAAAAAAAACTGATAAAAGAATAAAATACATTACAAAATTTAATCATAAACCCTACATTAACCCTTTCAGGGTTTCGGCTGTACTAGTACGGCTTACACAAAAGGGTTTTTGACGTACTAGTACGCCTAAATTCTAGCACCCTCAAATCGTGAGAGAAAGCTGGTAGGCCTACATATGAAAGAATGAGTCTATGTGGTCAGTGTGCGCAGTATAAAAAAATTCCTGCAGCACGCAGTGCGTAACGAGAAAAAAAAACTTTGACGGTGTTTTTGGATTAAAACAGCGATTTTGCACTGTATTTTCATATGGTTTTTATTGCTGTATTCTAGTTTTCTTGGTCTCATTTTTATAGAATGGAAGACATATTACAGAAATTGAGATGATTTTGAGTGATTTTACAATGAAAAGTACCTTGAAATTGAGTTCAGAAGTAGCATGAATAATGTTCGATTTTTACCAAGTTCAAAAGTAAAACAAAATAAATCATGCTACAGAGTCCATATATTCGTAACTTGGGAGGCTAATTATTCTTTTCAAAAGTGCGTGGTATTATTTATTCCATTTCTACACTAATGCAGTAATTACATATCAGTATTATCTTTATTTTTTTTGTTTTTTTTTTTTTTTTTTTTTTTTTTTCTAACACGGCGATTCCATCAAGGCACGGGTGGGCCCGAAAAGAATAACTTTCACCATCATCACTCCTCACTGTCTTGCCAGAAAGGGTGCTTTACACTACAGTTTTTAATAATTGCAAACATTAACACCCCTCCTTCAGAGGGCAGGCCTGTACTTCCAATCTCCAGGACTCAGTGCGGCCTGACGGTTCCTGAAATACCTTCATAATGTACTTTGCTCACACTCAACAGCACTGTCAAAGTATTAAAAACCATTTGGTCTCCATTCATCCTATCAACACGTCAAGCATGCAGATGGATGGCCTAGCCCTCGCCAAAAACCTCCTTTACCACTCTCCAACCCTTCTTGGCGACCCCTACCCCGCTTCCTTCCACTACTGACTGATACATCTGAGTCATTCTGTTTCGATCCTTTGCTCTACATGTCGAACCACCTCAACAACCTTCCTCAGCCCTCTGGACAACAGTTTTGGTAATCCCGCACCTCCTCCTAACTTCCAAACTTTCGAATTCTCTGCATTATATTCACACCACACATTGCCTCAGACATGACATCTCACTGCCTCCAGCCTTCTCCTCGCTGCAACATTCTCACCCAGCTTCACACCCATATAAGAGCGTTGGTAAAACCTATACTCTCATACATTCCCCTCTTTGCCTCCAAGGACAAAGTTCTTTGTCTCCACAGACTCCTAAGTGCACCACTCACTCTTTTTCCCTCATCAATCTATGATTCACCTCACTTTCATAGACCCATCTGCTGACACGTCCACTCCCAAATATCGAATACGTTCACCTCCTCCATACTCTCTCCCTCCAATCTGATATTCAATCTTTCATCACCTAATCTTTTTGTTATCCTCATAACCTTACTCTTCCTGTATTCACCTTTAATTTTCTTCTTTTGCACACCTACCAAATTCATCACCCCAATCTCTGCATACTTCTCTTCAGAATCTCCAAGAGCACAGTGTCATCACAAAGAGCAGCTGTGACAACTCCACTTGTGTGTGATCTTATCTTTTAACTCCACGCTCTTGCCAAGACCCTGCATTTACTTCTCTTACAACCCCATCTATAAATTATTAAACAACCACGGTGACATACACATCCTGTCTAAGGCCTACTTTTACTGGGAAAAAAATTTCCCTCTTTCCTACATACTCTAACTTGAGCCATCACTATCCTCGTAAAAACTTTTCACTGCTTTCAGTAACTACTCCTACACATACACTTGCACATCTGCACATTGCCCCCCTATCCACCCTGTCATACGCCTTTTCCAAATCCATAAATGCCACAAAGACCTCTTTAGCCTTATCTAAATACTGTTCACTTATATGTTTCACTGTAAACACCTGTCCACACACCCCCTACCTTTCCTAAAGCCTCCTTGTTCATCTGCTATCCTATTCTCAGTCTTACTCTTAATTCTTTCAATTATAACTCTACCATACACTTTACCAGGTACACTCAACAGACTTATCCCCCTATAATTTTTGCACTCTCTTTTATCCCCTTTGCCTTTATACAAAGGAACTATGCATGCTCTCTCTGCCAATCCCTAGTACCTTACCCTCTTCCATACATTTATTAAATAATTGCACCAACCACTCCAAAACTATGTCCCACCTGCTTTTAACATTTCTATCTTTATCCCCATCAATCCCGGCTGCCTTACCCCCTTTCATTTTACCTACTGCCTCACGAACTTCCCCCACACTCACAACTGGCTCTTCCTCACTCCTACAAGATGTTATTCCTCCTTGCCCTATACACGAAATCACAGCTTCCCTATCTTCTTCAACATTTAACAATTCCTCAAAATATTCCTCCATCTTCCCAATACCTCTAACTCTCCATTTAATAACTCTCCTCTCCTATTTTTAACTGACAAATCCATTTGTTCTCTAGGCTTTCTTAACTTGTTAATCTCACTCCAAAACTTTTTCTTATTTTCAACAAAATTTGTTGATAACATCTCACCCACTCTCTCATTTGCTCTCTTTTACATTGCTTCACCACTCTCTTAACTTCTCTCTTTTCTCCATATACTCTTCCCTCCTTGCATCACTTCTACTTTGTAAAAACTTCTCATATGCTAACTTTTTCTCCCTTACTACTCTCTTTACATCATCATTCCACCAATCGCTCCTCTTCCCTCCTGCACACCACTTTCTGTAACCACAAACTTCTGCTGAACACTCTAACACTACATTTTTAAACCTACCCCATACCTCTTCGACCCCATTGCCTATGCTCTCATTAGCCCATCTATCCTCCAATAGCTGTTTATATCTTACCCTAACTGCCTCCTCTTTTAGTTTATAAACCTTCACCTCTCTCTTCCCTGATGCTTCTATTCTCCTTGTATCCCATCTACCTTTTACTCTCAGTGTAGCTACAACTAGAAAGTGATCTGATATATCTGTGGCCCCTCTATAAACATGTACATCCTGAAGTCTACTCAACAGTCTTATCTACCAATACATAATCCAACAAACTACTGTCATTTCGCCCTACATCATATCGTGTATACTTATTTATCCTCTTTTTCTTAAAATATGTATTACCTATAACTAAACCCCTTTCTATACAAAGTTCAATCAAAGGGCTCCCATTATCATTTACACCTGGCACCCCAAACTTACCTACCACACCCTCTCTAAAAGTTTCTCCTACTTTAGCATTCAAGTCCCTACCACAATTACTCTCTCACTTGGTTCAAAGGCTCCTATACATTCACTTAACATCTCCCAAAATCTCTCTCTCTCCTCTGCATTCCTCTCTTCTCCAGGTGCATACACGCTTATTATGACCCACTTCTCGCATCCAACCTTTACTTTAATCCACATAATTCTTGAATTTACACATTCATATTCTCTTTTCTCCTTCCATAACTGATCATTTAACATTACTGCTACCCCTTCCTTTGCTCTAACTCTCTCAGATACTCCAGATTTAATCCCATTTATTTCCCCCCACTGAAACTCTCCTACCCCCTTCAGCTTTGTTTCGCTTAGGGCCAGGACATCCAACTTCTTTTCATTCATAACATCAGCAATCATCTGTTTCTTGTCATCCGCACTACATCCACGCATGGGGAAGTAGAACAGAATTCTTCCTCCATAAGCCATGCGTGTTGTAAGAGGTGACTAAAATGCTGGGAGCAAGGGGCTAGAAACTTTTTCTCCTGTATATATTACTAAATGTAAAAGGAGAAACTTTCGTATTTCCTTTTGG